TGTGTGTGTGTGTGTGTGTGTATTGTGTGTTGATGAGGGGGTGGCTTTGCCTGTAATGGAGGTAATACCCTGAAGGTCCAGTCAAATCGCATGTATTGGAAGTCTTTGTCTCTAGGCAAGTGTATAACTATAATTATAGTGGCTTAGATGTAAATATATACGTGTGTGTGTGTGTGTGTGTGTGTGTGTGTGTGTGTGTGTGTGTGTATCAGGGAGAGGAAGGGAGAGAGAGAGGAGCAAGAGAGGGGAGAGGAGGGAGAGAGAGAGAGAGAGAGATGGGCTGTAGGTAATAGACACCTAGCAGCAGAAGCACCTTGTTGGCTACTGCCCCCTAGTCCTGCTGCCAAACCCACCCATGTACCACTGCCCTGCTGGACACCCCTACCCCTGCCACTATAGCCTGAAACACACTGCTTGGTTTCAGGCTTTGCTGCACACCTGCCTGAGGCCTGGATGCCCTACTGTGTATCACACCCTCAGGACTCCCCAGTCCTAACCCGGATATTGTGCAGGATAACGGCCTCATCTAATAAGTTTCTCTTCCTTCACCCATCCTGCTGCCACAATAGCCCTGCTAATTTTCAGTGTGCTTAGACCCATGCCCGTCTGGTAGTGTATGTTGTCAATAGAATGGTGCTATGTTGGGTAAGGCTTGAAGCCAATTATTGTATATGCATACAATATACTTCAATACACATGACTGAAATCTGCACAGAGTGGTAGTAGGAGCATAATAGCAAGAAACTTGATATGTCAGTGATGGAGGTATTAGCAGAGCCTTTCAAATTGCAGTGTTCATTGGGCCAGTAGTGTATATCAGAGCTAAGGGTGTGTGTCAACATTGTCGGATACCTAGCATGTCCCATGTGATGGAGCCTGGTGCTCAAGTGAACCTGACACACAGCACTTTATATGCACTGTGGCTTGGACAGGGGTTAATGCCCAGCATGGCCCAGTAACTAGCAGTAGAGCCTGAGACGCAGCACATGGTATAGCATAGGAAGGAGTCCAGTAGAAGCTGATGCCTAGCAGTGTGGATGTGTCTTCAGCAGAAGGAGGGTGTCTGTCAATGCTAATTGCTAGGTATTGTGCAAGACCTGACAGGGGGAATTTTCCCAGCATGGTCTGGATGGCTGTCGATTAATGTGGGGTATGAGGTCAAACTGGACTTTGTACCTAGAGCAGATGTGTGGTCACAGGGGTGGTGGTGTGTCCAGTGTGTTTGATGATAACTGTATGTCAGAGGGGAGCAGTGGAAGAACGGGGTGTCAAGCTCTGCACAATCCCTACTGAGTGTGTGTCAGCTCATGGCTGAGCTGGTGTCTGTCAAGGCCTAATAACATTTTGAAGTCGGTTGGCAGTGGACGATGAGATGTCAAGTGGGGTCCAATACCAGCAGAATATTTGGGTACAGTAGCAAGAGAGTGTCTTGTATGGCCTGATAAGTAGCTGATAATAAAGGATTATGTGGGTGACATACCAGATCCAGACCTAGGAATACATGTGAGGTAAGTCTGAGGGTTTAGCAATGCTGGATACCTAGCAGTCAATGTGTGGTTGGGTGAGAAGTCATTCATGGCCCAAGACTTAGAAGTGTATTAGAGGCTGTGTGTGTGTGTGTGTGTGTGTGTGTGTGTGTGTGTGTATGTTGTAGAGGTTGTTTATCATGGTCTGACAGCTGGTAATACAAGTGAGGTGACATGGCTGTAGTGTCCCACGTTGCATTATACCTAGTGTTGCATGTCAGTGCAGGAAGATTCCAGGAATGTTTGAACCAAGCAGTAAATGTGTGTCCTTGTCAGAAGATAAAGTGTGCAACAGGGCCTGGTACATTTCCCAA